GATGGTGGCGGTGCTCGGTGCTGGTGCTGGCTTGCTGGCTTGCTGGCTTGCTGGCTCTGGTGCTGGTTTTCGGCAGATGCGTGCTGGCGAAGGCTCGTGGTTGTCTGGTAAGTGTCGTGGTCACTGCTGGCATCCTAGCCACTGGCCCTGTGATGTGGCCACCACTTAGGGCTGATCGTGTCCTGCTGCCACTGCATCAATGGCGGCGGCGACGACGACTGAGATAACCAAACCACGACACCCCAAGTTTCCTGAACCGCAGTTTCAATTCCTCAAGCCTCGCGGTGCCTACTCAAAGCACTGAGAGACTCCGAGCTGCAGGCCCTGGTCGCTCCTCTCTCTCCTCCAGATCCGGATCGTCCGTGGACACGTCGAAATCTTGGTACATGTTGTGCAGGCTCTGCTCTTTGTGACCCCGGAAACTTAACATGAGCTCGCTAGATATACATCTAATCCTCCTTCCTGCAGCCCGAAACCTTCACCCCTCACACGCCACAGCTTGGGTGACGCGCTCCCCCTCTTCCCACGCATCTGGCGCCCATCCCCTCCCACCTTCTGCATCCGCTGTGCTCTTTCACATTACAGAAGCAAGTCGATGAGTTCTGTCACAGTGCTGGTCTCCGGCAAGCCGAGGTGGGCGGCGTAGCGTTAAAATCATATTTGATATCGTACTGCAATAGAACAAACAGAATACAGAATCTTATGTTATGATATGATATGTTTACATTGTATTCGATATGTTATCTCTGTATGTGTATCATGTTGTAAGCTGTATGTTATATGATATGCAGTGCTACATATACATGCATTCGTCTATTTGTACATATAGGGGAGCTCTTGCCGGATATATGCTATATACATTATACCCATTATACCTGGTATAGGCTATGTGTTGGGCGGTAGTTGTGCATGTCATGTTTGTTACATGAATAGGTGACCTGATTCATGTTCCATGTAGTAAGATGTATGTTCTATGTTAATTTAGCAATGTTACTTATACTACATATGCTGCATTAGTGTATTGAAACATAGAGAAGAAAGCTTGCCGGATATATGATATTGATATTGCGCTGTGCATGATTTGCATTGTCTTGTGTCTTGTGCGTGCTGTTGTTCTATTCTATTATACATCAGCTTGCCGGATCGTGCGGATGTGGTTCACCCCTTGCAGTTGGTGCTTGGGATCTCCGGAGCAGGAAGCTCAAGCGTGGCAGGCTTTTCGTCGTTTGTTAAGTGAACGTCTAATTCGTCTAAGATTGAGCTCCAGGGAGAGCGAAGCCCTACTTGCTCACCAAACTTGGCAGAAGACCATCGTCCATGGTCTCGTGGACGACCTGGCTCCGCGCTATGTTTCATGTTTCGGTGCTTTCCAGTCTCAACACCGAACACAAGCAGGGGCCTGTGATTCTTAATTCGGAGCCCTCCAAGACTCCAAGGTAGCAGTAGCAGCGGCAGCAGCAGCAAAACCAGGGGCAGGAGCCAAAGCCGCAGCCTTGGCGCACAGAGCAGAAGCAGTAGCAGGAGCCGGACCGGGAGCAGGAGCAGCCGGAGCCGGAGACGGAGCCGGAGACGGAGCCGGAGACGGAGCCGGAGACGGAGCAGGAGACGGAGCAGGAGCAGGAGCTTGAGCAGGAGCAGAGCAGGAGCAGTAGCCGTAGCTGTAGCAGCAAAATGCAATAGGATTGTTGTGAAATGGGACAGCTCTGAACGAGTTATATGCAATCGTAAATCATGTAAATACCGAAATACCGAATAATAATGTAGGTGATGGTCACCCCCATCCCCCCACTCCACCCCCCCGCCGTCCCCCCCGACCCCTTCTTTCCTTCTTGATTGCCCTCGCCTTTTTGCGGCGCTTCGCCTCGTCTACTGCGGCTAAGGCTGCAAGTTCGTTGGCTTCGTGTCATTGCGCTGCATGATTGCGCTGCGTATTCACGGCTGGGGCGCTGGGCTGCAACTTTAGTCTGTTCTGCTCTGTCTGCACCTCTACATGGAACCGAAGGCACCACAAAGCTCCCAGGGCCAGTAGCAGACATCTACGACAAGGGTGCCGAACAGAGCTTTCAGATGCGCTTCCCTAAACGTGGTTGCCCAGAACATGCATTCGCCTCGGTGCCACTTGAATCTTCGCCAAGTTGAGCGGTCATCTTCTCACAGGCCGCGATGGAAGCTCCTGCATAGAATGCCGCAGGGGGCTAGGCAAAACAGCTGAGGATTTAGTTCTTACTTAGAGGTTAAGGCTCGGGGCTTTAAGGTGAGTTAGGGTTGCAAGTTTTGTGGTGGCAGGGCTTAAGCAGCGGGTGTCGGAGAGTCGGGGTTTCGAGTTCAGGAGCTCAAGCTGAAGGTAGTGGAGAAGACAACTAAACTAAACCTCGAAACGAACATTCACCTAACCTCCCCCGCACCCCACTTCCCATCCCCTCCCCCTAAATCTAATGCAGCAGCAGCCCGGCCGGCGCACAGCGCACGAGCCTGAGGCGCGCTTAAAACTCCTGACTGCAGATGCTCAACACAGCTGCCCATCCGTGCCAGCGCGCGCAGCAAGGGCAGGACGAGGGCGACATTCGAGCCGCAAAGGTTCCGAAAGTCACGAAGTGTTCGAGACTTTCTAGCTATTCGGCTGTGATATCAATCCCAGCGGCGGGAACTTTTGCTTGCAGGCGGTTCGTTCTGTTCTTCTTCAGTAGCCTTGGGCTGCAGGCTCGAAGTTGGGTAAAAGCCTAAGGCTCTTGAGGGAGGGTCAGGCCGGGGTTACCGTGGAAAGTGGAGCAAACATTGAAACGCCTGAACAGTGGACTGCGACGGAGTAAGATTCGAACAACGTTGATACCAACTATAGCCGCTTGGATCCCTTCTATCACAAGAAGCTTCCGGAAAATAACATAAACCATTGCCTGAAGCAATCCCAGCTTTCCTGGAACACAGCGCACTGCTTTGCCACAGCACGGTGTCGGTCATGAGCGTAATGTTTATTATATCAATGAAGCCCAAGCCCGCACCTTCAGAGAATCTACGCTCTGTTTCCGCAAGTACCGGAGAAGCCCGGAAAAGGCGAACGTGGTGCCGAAGAACCCTCGACGACAGGATCGCCATGGAACCTGTTTCACACTACTGGCTGGCAGAAATCGCCACCAGCTTCATGCGCAAGGATGAGGAACCCAAGATGCTGATTGCACAAGTTGCCTATGTTGCGGATCCTCGCTTCGCTCACCAATGCAGCTGCCTAGTGCTTATGCGGAAGATTGTTGTTACCGCCAATTTCAGTATTGTCAAAGTGGCGGCTGCCACTGCTACTGCTACTACTATTCTTGCAACTACGACCACTGCCACTACCACTACCACTTCAACTACTACTGGCACTACGACGACTACTACGACCACTACCACTACCCCTGCCACTACCACTACCACTGACAATACCACTACCACTACCACTCCACAACTATTGCTGCTACTGCTTCTACTGCTACTAATAGAATTAATAATACTACTACTACCACTACCACTACCACTACCACTACCACTACCACTACTACTACTACTACTACTGCTACTACTACTACTACTACTACTGCTACTGCTACTACTACTACTACTACTACTACTACCACTACCATTACCACTACTACTACTACTACTACTACTACTACTACTACTACTACTACTACTACTACTACTACTACTACTACTACTACTACTACTACTACTACTACTACTACTACTACGACCACTACTACTACTACTGCTACTACTACTCTTGTTGCTGCTACTAGTACCACCACGACTTCTACTTCTATTTCTACTTGTACTTGTACTTCAGCTTCTACTTCTAATTCTACTGCTACCACTACAACTGCTACTACGACTACAACTACCACTACTTCTCTTCAACTACCACCACCACCACTACCACCACAACGACGACTACTACAACTGCGGCGCCTGGCCGACAGTTGGACCCACTAGCTTTAACATGCTGGAACTGCCTGCTTGCCTACTCCGCACACCGTCTTCCCCATGGCTCCTGCCCCAATTGATTCTCTGGCGCAGTAGTTGGTGGCGCGCGCGCCGGGTCCCTGCTTTTAACCTGCTGTTTTGGGGGGTTTCGGGGATAGCCATGCTTTAGGGGTGGGGTGGGGTGGGGGTGGGGGGGGGGCGGGGAAGTGACGACGTTCTACGACCGCACACAAATGTAAGGGTCGCACACATATGCAAGGGTCGTCGACAAATGTTCACGTGTATGTAACGTCTGAGATCTATGTGGTGTTCATGACATATAAGACCCAGAAGGCACATACAACATGCTTTTCATGAGAAACTCATGCGGCATTTTAGGCACTGTGCAAGTGTTCCATGTAGTTTCCACCTGGTGCATGTGTTGTGTCTTATATGTAGTATGTGCCTAAAATGCCTTTTGAGTCTCTGATGTAATTTCATGTTGTATGTGCCTTCTATGCTTTATATGTCATGAATACCACATACGAAGTTACATACGCATGAACATATATCGGCGACCCTTACATATGTGTGTACGATGCCCAGAACCTTAAGCCCCAGAGCTCCCTGCCTTGGCCGCAAGTTTTAGAACTTACAATGCTTCAACTTCACTTGTCGGTTCAGGTCGTTAATAGTTTTTAGGGTTGATTCAAAACACATTTTTGCTAAGAAATTAGCGTTTCCCTGGGCAACAATTCGTACCTCACATCGCTACCAGGGTCCTGGTTGGCGCCTGACCTAGTTTAGGCTGTTTTCAGCTCGTGACAATACGTCGATGATGCATCGAATGTTGCTCCCTTTGCTCATGTAGTCACGTATCTCAGGCATGCATACAGAAATCAGTACGGGTGGGGTCGCCACGTTGTTTCCCTCCGCTCCAAAAGCAATTGCAATGCTTGTATGTGGGCCGTGCTTGCGAAGCTAGAAAACGTAGCAGCATTCAAGTTTACAGGTTTCGGCTGTGTTTTGATCGGGAGGCAGTGATTTTCGGAATTGCACACGCATCAGCACAGTTCAGACAAGTCCCTGCTCCAGGCTGGCATCTTCTCCACGATGATACCAGATGCGGCTGCCGACCTCGAATTCCATTGGGGCTGTTCCTGGAAGAATATCCTTTGCAGTCGAAGCCCGGGCTCTGGAAGTTCTCATTCCCCATCGGTAGCGAGGGAACCCTGAGTCGCAGCTCCTGGATGCTAGCCTCCAAGTCCAGTGGGGGGTTTAATGCAGTTCTTACATGTGCTACCAGCAGGTCAGGGACCGAAAGTCTAGAGGGATAGATACCTTCATTCGAGGACACCGGGCTCATCCAAGTGCCGTACCGACTCAAAAGCTTCGGGATACATTCTGTACTCTCTGCCTGTGAAATCTTGCATTAGTCCAAGTCTCGCCACGGTCATGATCTCACGCATCAAGCTTGTCTGCACGTGAGAACGCTCGGATGTGCGTATGTGGGTATTTTGGCCAACAGCACGCCTATATGCATACACGCAGGTGTCCCCCTGCAGACACACCCCTCATGCTCTTGCTCTCACCCACGAAGCCCTCAAGATCATCCCACTGGTACATGTCGCTGGGCATACCAGGATCCTGAGGGCATTTTGGTCGTGGCTAACTACTGGTAGCTGTCTTAACACGGAACGGATGCGAGCAACATCGCACTCTGCGGTACGGCTGCATTGCAAGCGGGGGACCGCATGGCCCGCAGCTTCTGGCCGTTGCAGAACTCATCGGCTATTGTCCGGAGGTTTGCGAGCAGACCATTCCTCAACTCTCTCAACACGTGTCATGGGGCTGCCTCTTCCCGGAACAGAGTGGAGAGACTCCAAGAACTCCTGTGGAAACATGCTCTTGTATATGTATATATATATATATAGTATATACTGTGTCGGAAGGCTCGGAAGCCCCAAGACTTTGGCTGTGTCAAGCGGCTTGCAAAACCACCCGGGCGGCTCCAGGCTGGCACAGAAGTCCTGACGCACGGATCGCACCCCCCTAATGAATTCCCTGCTGCCTTCCGCCGCAGACTTCCACCACCTGGACCATCCTTGAGCAGAAGATTCTTGGATCTCTGAAGACTGACCACAGATCGTGGAACGCGAAGAAGGTCATTTCTTGGCTCCTCTGCGAGGGCAATGGCCGAAGGCTCGAGCCAAAGGTCCAAGGCCATGGCGTCCTGGAAAGGGCTTCCAATGTCGGGATACACAGACCTTAACCTACCACGACCTACTTGTTTGTAGGGTCCCTACAAATCCCATATTATTGTTTGTAATAAGAACCTACAAACAAGTAGGGTAGGTCTAGGGATGCATTATTAGGTCAGCAAATGACAGTTATTAATTGCGGCACGTCACGAAAAATCAGGCAGACTGGCCCTCCATAAAGACCCATATGATCGAAATCTGCACCAAACAAGCCCCAAATTGCTTAACGCTAACACACAAAGCCTTAAAACAAACCTCAAAGGCCAGCTGAAATCCGAAGACATGTTCTGGTTGTATGTTCTGGTTGTAGGGTTTAAGGTTTCGACGCTCACACTCGAACACGGCAGGCAAGGCTCCACATGGTTTAGGGTTTAGGGACCACGGCTCCGAGCACAATGAAACCAAACTGCCATGACGTGAAAACGACTGCTCAGCCCGGCCTGGAGCTCCGTCATCCCACCCTCAGCGACGCTGGCCTCTGCAGTGCGGGAGGTCTAGGTAATACAGCGCCCACTATACTATACCTTTTATTGGGCCATGTATTATGTCTGGAATGGAAGTTGCCCTAGACGCCCCTCTGCAGCTACGAGACTGCTGCCGCTGGCAAAAACTGCACCTTTGGCTATCTTGCTTCGTAGCTGCATGGTCTTTCAGCCCCACAACAAGAGCTCAACACAGGAAGCGCCTTGGACACCCGTGGCACGTCGTAATGCTCGCCCATTTCGTCCACAATGGCTTGGACAATGTCCTGACTGATGAGATTGCACATATACAGTAGTGGCCACATTCCACCTAAAGAACTGCTATTGCATGACCCACTTCAACTAAACTAGTCCACTAGTGTCCACCACCTCAGGTTCAGCAGCAAATGCCTTCTCGACTTCTTGAGTTGTCGAAACATGCATTGTCATCGGTGTGCTTACTTGCACCTTGCCAGTCAAGTCTGTAAGCATATGCACACACAGACACAAACGTATGCATGTACATACATACTCAAATGTAACACGACTACAGTGGCAACCTGAGCCTAAATGGTCCAGCATGTTTATGGCTGCGGGAGACCGCGTTATGAAGGCTTCTCCACACAAAGCGGCTGGCTACCGTGGCGATGGATCCATCGCAGCTACTTCGCGACTCATCCGAAAGCAAACTCGGTGCTCCACTGTGATTAGCTGTTGCAGGCCAGGCTCTTTTTGCGAAGCCGGCATTGGTGCTTGCCCCTCTTTTGCTGCTGGCCTGAGACTTGAAAGCCCTGTACTTTACCGTTGGCGATGCCTCCAGCTTGAACTCGCAATACGGCCGTAACATCACTGAGAGGCTAGTGAAGGCACAATTCTTTGATTACTGGAAAGCCTTCGAAAGCAGGAATGCACACCTCAGAAGACCCTTGCTAGGGAAGCTGAGGGGGCGACGGCTGATCAACGGCAAGGAAGTACGGAGTTGCTTCCAAGGGGTTGATTCCCTCCGCATTCCTTGGATTCTCTGAGCTACGGCCATTGAATGGAAACATCAACCAGCTCCCTACACAATATGGGACTACATGGTCTAGATCATGATGAAGATCAAAAGCCTGCTCCTGTGCAACGAGAGCCTGCGAAAACTAAAGCCACCAGGGTCCTGGTTGGCGGGTGACCTAGTTTGGGGTGTTTTCAGCTCGTGACAAACATACGTCGATGATGCATCGAATGTTGCTCGCTTTGCTGATGTAGTCACGTATCTCAGGCATGCATACAGAAATCAGTACGGCTGGGGCGCCACGTTGTTTCCCTCCGCTCCAAAAGCAATTGCAATGCTTGTATGTGGGCCGTGCTTGCGAATCTAGAAAACGTAGCAGCATTCAAGTTTACAGGTTTCGGCTGTGTTTTGATCGGGAGGCAGTGATTTTCGGAATTGCACACGCATCAGCACAGTTCAGACAAGTCCCTGCTCCAGGCTGGCATCTTCTCCACGATGATACCAGATGCGGCTGCCGACCTCGAATTCCATTGGGGCTGTTCCTGGAAGAACATCCTTTGCAGTCGAAGCCCGCGCTCTGGAAGTTCTCATTCCCCATCGGTAACGAGGGAACCCTGAGTCGCAGCTCCTGGATGCTAGCCTCCAAGTCCAGTGGGGGGTTTAATGCAGTTCTTACATGTGCTACCAGCAGGTCAGGGACCGAAAGTCTAGAGGGATAGATACCTTCATTCGAGGACACCGGGCTCATCCAAGTGCCGTACCGACTCAAAAGCTTCGGGATACATTCTGTACTCTCTGCCTGTGAAATCTTGCATTAGTCCAAGTCTCGCCACGGTCATGATCTCACGCATCAAGCTTGTCTGCACGTGAGAATGCTCGGATGTGCGTATGTGGGTATTTTGGCCAACAGCACGCCTATATGCATACACGCAGGTGTCCCCCTGCAGACACACCCCTCATGCTCTTGCTCTCACCCACGAAGCCCTCAAGATCATCCCACTGGTATATCGCTGGGCCAAAGTGCTCAAAAGCGCTTCTGAGAGCTGGGCATGATTTGGTGCGCAGGCCGATCCTCGCAGTGGCTGCGCGCTGACAGACTTGAAGGTTGATCATGCAAAGTTTCCGGAACTTTAGAAACTCAATTCGAACCAGAGTCCGGCTTGAGATGGGATGACCGGAACAGTCTGTGAGCAGTCAAGGTGTTAAAGCTCTTCGCTCTAAACAGCATACGGTGGAGAACGTCATGCTTTCTTGTTGAAGCTAGCGGCGAAATCATCACAGTAGCAAGTAAAAAGGTGTGTACTCACAGTGGTCGCAGGCAGAATGACACCACAACGGCTACAACGGCGAAACATCCCTTGGCCTCGGCAACCAAGCGGGAACAACTCTTCGATTCTGCATTGAAGAATGGGTGGTCTTCATGCTGTGACACATTTGTTGCTTCGGAAGCAAGAACTGTCGATGTTGAAACTGAGAGAGAGGGAGAGAGAGAGAGAGAGAGAGAGAGAGAGGGAGAGCGAGAGAGAGAGAGACAGAGACAAAGACAGAGACAGATGACGTGTGTGTGTGTGTGTGTGTGTGTGTGTGCGTCTGTGCGCATGTATGTCTGTATGTATGTGTCTGTGTGCGTGTTTGTGTCTGTGTGCCTGCAAACAGTCTTTACACCGCTACTGTGATCTATGTAATCATGCACATCTTTCCGTGGACACAGACAGCTTGATGTGGACCTCAGCAATGAATGTGTATATGACATGTACATTCAAACATACGTGCTTCTACCTTCTTATGTATGCAAAACCTGCAGCGTGTGTCAGCCTCAAACTGCACTGCCAAGAGCGGGGGAGTGTGGCAATGGGTTTTGAAAGCCCCGTGCGTTTTGAGCAAAATGGCTAGCGGGCTCAGGAAATTGTGACTCAATAGAAAGGAGTAAAGCTCAGAAAGAAGCCGCGCAAGAGGATACTGGGGCTAGTGAGCACTTGCATGTATGTATGTACATAGTTTTATGTGTGTGTGTGTGTGTACACCTGGGCATATGCATGGACATGTGCATAGGCACGTGCATGTGAATGTGTATGTCCATATGCGTGTCCATGCGTATACATGTGTGGGTGTTTCTGTGTATGCATGCATGTATGTGCGTGTATACGTATGTCATTATGTAAGTATGTATGTAATTGTTTGTATATGCATATGTATATGTAAAAGAAATTTACGTAGATGCATGCGTGCTTCTATATAAATATGTATGTGTATATGTCTATGTGTGTATATATATATGTACATATCTGTATGTACAAATATATGTACATGTATATCTATACTTACATATACATACAGTATAACTGAAGGCATACTGATATGCTGCAGCGAAAAATTTGTTGAACTCCCTCTTCCAGGAGCACCTCCGTGGGATCAGTGGCGTAAATGTCCGGTATCGTGAACTCGGATATCAACCTGCCGTGAACGACATTGTGTCTATCCCCCCGGCATTGACTGTTGGAAGCACCTAGGACCTAGGATTGAACCAAACCTGCGGCTGTAAAGACTCCATCTAAACAACCAACGGTGAGGGGTTGGCCCCATTGCGTCTGAAGAAAACTTAAGACATCGTCCACCGCTCTCAGTCGCAAAAGAGCTGGAGCGATGATTCAAGACAGATGGCCGCCGGAGTTGATCAACAAAATCTGTGCACGCAACGCACCATATCTGTTTCGAACCAAGAGCGGCAAGCAGTGTAGATGTAGACGGACATACGTGCAAAACAGAGAGCTTCTATATGGGGCGTCCGAGCTTTAGGGTGTGTTGAGATTTCAAGAGCTTCGGGCTGGGTGTCATGTTTTGGCAAGCGTTTGGTAGCCGATGTTCACGGTTCGAGCCATGAACATGGGCACATAGTTCTAAGGCTCTTGTGTGCAATGCTGCAGCTCTGGCTTTGTTGCCGTGGAGCGTCGGGTTCAATTTGAAGCCTAAATTACAAAGGATTCTCACGGCTTAACTCCTAAAACCAGTGGAAGTCTCCAGCCTAAGCCACATAAAACCTAAAGCCGAAACTTCTTGGCGAATCCGCCCGGGCCGGGAGACAACTTGTGCCAAAGACCATGCTGTCGGTGTTGTTCAGGGTGTGTTCCGCAGGCAGACGCAGACATTTTCATGCATTCTTATCCAAACCTACTGAAGCCTAATCAACACCGACACCACTGGGGGCGCTGCTGCGGGACGCTTAAGAAGTGGAGCGTCTGCAGCATCTCCGCCTAATGCAATGCTGCTGGATGCAGTTTAAGGTTTAGAGTTGGGGGGTTCGTTGGCACGTCCAGAGGCTTTGAGGGTTTAGGGTGCAGTTTAGGGTCTGCGATGTAGAGTGGTCGTCGAGGCCTGTACAGCACAGAATCCTAGAACTGCTCTGTGCCATGAGGCTCAGCAATTGAGTGTATCGGGTTTTGCGTAAGCACAAAGGACTCAGCTGGTGGCTGAGGGCATGGTAGGACTTGGTGCCCCAAGACGACGGAGCCTTTCGTCACCGTAGGCCAGACTTGACCGGAAATCCCAAGCCGCGCCGAGGCGACCTGCGACATGCACTGACCTGTCCGAAACTTTGAGGCTTGTGCTGAACATGACATAACATCCCATGGCAGAGCGCATATTAACATATCCCGGCATAGATCCGTGTAGCACACACCGAACAACCCAGAACAGATGACATCAAGTACTTGTCCGAACAGAGCAGATCCCTACCCATGCGCTCGCAGTCGACAGGCATAGAGCGTGCATCCAAAAGCCTTTGGTTTCACGTGAGGGTTGAATAATGGCAAGAGTAGGTTAGCGCTTGTTTATATGCATAATCGATGTGCCGAAAGCATTCGCCTCGCGTTCGGCCACGGTCGCAGTGACGACAGGACTGCAACGGCACGGAGATTAGGGATTCTTGCAGGTTTTTTTGTGATGTTTATAGCGCTCTCATCGTGTTCTAATGCGGTTTGGAAAGGGTTTATAACGTCAAGGGGATTATAGGGACAGGACACTAGTGGATCTAGGGCAGTACGGTTCTACAGAGGGCGAAGTGTACTCAAGGTTTGAAGGCTTCGGGATTTAGTTTTGAATGTCATGGTCCTGTACCTTTGCATCGCAAACATGACAGAACTCCCCTCCCCATTGCTCTGAAACCACTCGGCCACTCTCCTCGGGCACCTCACCCCAAACTCCAAGCCCGAACCCAGGAAGTTATCTCGCAGGGGCTACGAAGGCTAAATTGCCAGAATACTTGCCGAAAGGTCCAAACTATAACTGATGTATATATGTATACATAAACATATGCAGATGCATGCAAACATACACATACACATACACATACATATACATATACATAAACATGTACATATACATCGTGGCTTACACATAAGAACATTGCAGTCGGGAAAGATGCAAGAGCTCGGAACACGACACTCAACAACGTCAGGGAAGTGTGAGCTAAAGCAACCTCGAAGGAACAAATCGACAGAGCTTTGACAACCGCTGCAGTCACCTGGCTGAAAAGTACATTCTATCACATGCTAAAGTATGTGGCATAGATACTGTACGAGTGGCCGAATGTTGCGAACACCGTCCTCCACCGGCGCTTCGTGCAGAAATCGCGCACCCTTCCGTGTTTCCCGAACTGCCTCGATCAAAGTTTGGCGGAAGATACTGACAGACATGTCGAACACTGCGGTTGCAACATGATGTGACAGCAATCTCCGCCTCCATATCTTCGTGATCGATGGGTCTCATATCGAAGAGACTCAAACGCGATGCGTCCAAAGGCTGCCTCGTTGCAAGAGACTCGGAGCACCCCTTCAATTTCTCAAGGGCAGGTAAAAGCTTCTCAAAGCCTGCATGGAGTTCAAGGCATTGTTGATCCTGGCATGGCAGGGCATGTCACACAAGACAAGTGCCGCGTCACACCGTGGATTTCATGCTCCAAAGTGCGGCCTTTGGCAGCCTGGTCCGTAGCCAGAGCCACATGAGGCCTTGCCCTTGGCTTCCACACTCGCGCAGGCCTTTTGAAATGACAGTAACAGGACTATCACCCTGTTCCCTGTCCATCCTGTCCCGCTCTTGCGAACAGGGCTCCATTGGTTGGCTCGCTCGACGAAGTCATGGATGCCAGCGACCGGAGACTGCATCCCATCCGAGATTCTACTTCCCTTGACGGGCACGAGACTTGAAATCACATGTTGGGCCCTCTAGCCTCACTACACTCCTGCTGGACGAAATCCTCCAAAGCATGCTTTGCCTGCTGGCTAGGAGGCTAGGCTGCACATGTCCCATGGTTCCCATGTTGAGCTCTCAAGTCAACCTTCTTGAACCGGGACATGAAGAGGCATTTTCACAGCAAGAACAGGTGACATGTGATGAAAGGAATCTCAACCGGTTCGCCGTAAGCCGAGACTTTTCGATTTCAAACTATGGAGTGCGTGGCATCTGCTGACACATGGCCATGGAAAGTCTCGTTGTATGGACACTTGGATAGCCGCAGTCCAGGTCAGTCCTATGAAACATGTCATGCAACCTCACAGGTCTGCCCGGCTGAACTCATCACGATGCACTTGCTGGACTCCCGGCTCCATTGACAGGATGTGCGTTCCGCATCAAGTAAGAAAGCTGTTGTGGCGTCAGAGATTGACTGTGCGTGTCCGCTCGCTCGCGATGAGCAATGAGCTGAAGAAAGCCAGAACGGGCCCTGTGCTTTCATCCATCCTGCCGTCCCCTTAAGACTGATGCCCTTTGCGAAGTAAGACTAGAAACACCTCAGCTCACTGTCCCACAGGCCGCCACGTCTCGTGGGCACTGGCGAGAGGAACAGCGTGCCGACAGTTGCCGGCACAGGCATGAGCACCACATGTCTCTCGCCGGCCAGTCTTGCCCTTCGTTGTTTGATGGCTACAAGTGATGGAGGCAGTGCGACTTAGTCAGTGCCTCAGTCAATCCTGGCACTGAAGGGGCTGGCTCCAGGCAGACAGGTAGCACGTATTATGTTGAATTCATAGGGACAGGTGTTGTAGCTTTCCTCCCCGAGAAGTGCAGGGAGCACAGACTACAAAGCAATCCGTGGATGGGCCATCTGCACATGAGCTGAGAAGTGTAGAACTGCTGCCCCAGCACGACGGCCCAACCCTTCTGCACGGTCAGGCATGGGAAAGTGCAGCATATCATCGCAACTTCCCCATGGGCCCGATCGATCCCACTAACACTGCTGATGAAGGAAATTCAGGTTCGTCACAGAGTAACGCAAACTCCAAGCTCAGCTGGCTCATTCCTCTCTTTCCGGCATCAGATTCGCCGGGTAAGAAAGTTCATCACAATGCGTCTCACTTGGAGCTCTTTGCAGCCTCGGACAAGCCGGCTATGTGTGCCTCGTCCTTGAGCATGTGAAGAGTAGTGATTGAGACTCATGCGAACGAGTTTGTACTGATAGTGATGATGATGACTTCTCTTGAGTATTTTGTAACCAAATAAAGCAGGCAGAAACAAGCAAATACCTATGGAGAAAGAACACATCTGAGTCATGTTGGGAGCCACACTGCATATGATAACGAATAACCATACATGAAGAATTGTACATACATAGCAAGAAGCTTCGGGGAAACGAACTATAACAACTGAACGGCTGAATTAACAAGAACAAGAACAAGAACAAGAACAAGAACAAGAACAACAACAACAACAACAACAACAACAACAACAACAACAACAACAACAACAACAACAACAACCACAACAACAACAACAACAACAACAAAAACAAAAAAAACAACAACAACAACAACAACAACAACAACAACAACAAAAACAACAACAACAACAACAACAACAACAACAACAACAACAACACAAACAACAACAACAACAACAACAACAGCAGCAACAACAACAACAACAATAACACCAACAACAACAACAACAACAACAACAACAACAACAACAACAACAACAACAACAACAACAACAACAACAACAACAACAACAGCAACAGCAACAACAACAAGAGAAACAAAAACAATAACAATAACAAATAGCACGTACAAAAAGAATGCTATAATGACGATACTGAAACATGGACCCACTAGCACTATAATGAAACCTAAACCCAATAGTACTATCATAGAACCTAAACCCAATAATACTATGACAAACATGAAAACTGAAACCCAATCAGGCGACGGCCGGATTCCACTTCTGCTTCGCCTTGGGCTCAGCAGTTGAGCTCTTCGACTTGCCTGCAAGGGCTTGGGAATCTGTCGAGGGTCGGTCCGAGAATGTAATAAACAGAAAAGTCACACTATATACATAAAGAAAGAACAAAGTACATAGCACATACAATGTCATGATCTAGCAATCATGCGAGTATTATATACATGTTCTTCTCGTGTGCAGTAATCCGGATGAGCCTTTGCCGCTGCCCGAGCCTTTTCCCTCGGCTTTACCCTTCTGGCGCCATCGCCTGAGCCAAGCGATGGTGCAACAGAGGCCGACGCTTCCTTCGGGTCTCAGCGAATCTGTGCTGAGGTTGTCGCGCGTTGGTAGCCTCGCAAGCGGGAATTTGAGAAAATAGTTCTAAACCCTACAGCAAGTACTATACGGAGCCTCTTAGAAAGGAAGACTCTAATTAAGAAGCCCCACAATCTAACAACACACGGGGCTGTGCTCACTATCACTGCAGATCCAGGCCTCGGGAGCGTTGGTCCTGCGGAGCAGGTGCAGCCGTGCCCAACCGTCTTGCCATCGGCAGCAAGCCCCGTTGCTGCCTTCCCCATTGTGGAGCGCTGCGCTGTCGCCCGATCCTAGTGCGATGTTTCGTGTGATAAAACTGGTGTGATAAAACTGATTATCACTGTAGAAGCTGAGGCGGTCACCAGTAGTTTTGGGACTCCTCCAGCCACTCCTGGCAAATGCAACTCCTGTTCTCTAGATCCTTCGGCGTATGCTGCAATACTGGGTCCTTGTGAAGGGGTTTAACTTAAGGTATCATAATTTGGAAACCATATCATTTACCATGGATCCCTGTGATGGTAGCTTAAGTTACTTCTCAAGAACCCAGAATATCTAAGGAAAGCAACTCGGCCTCGCCGGAGGTGGAGGTCCACCAGGATTCCTGCGCAGCAGCTCCGGGCTGGTTCTCATGCCTCTATGCCATGGCCATTTGCATCTGGGGTGCACTGCCGTTCCAGCCGGCCTTACAGTATATACACTGTAAGAGTCGCTGTCAGAACCATGCCGCCATACAAGCAGCCCTGAAAAGGAGCCAAGTTGCCCAGACGTGCTTTCCCGATGTCTTGCCCTGACACGGTTCCACAGTGATGCTTATCGGAGACCTGGGGTTTAGGGTTTAGGGCAAACTCTGTCTTATGCAGACCTGCCTTGTGCTTGTATTTACCGGCTCCTTTGCGATGGTCGGCCCACTCGTAATTGCCGTAGTAGGAATCACCTGAAATTGCCATGCCACAACTCAGTGCCCGCACTCAGTGCCCACGTAGTAGTAGTTAAAAATGGCATGGCAATCGTATCCGTCTGTAGTGCTGCTTTGGAGTTTTGCGCCCAGTGCAGCTGGAGAGCCACCCCACCATCCGCCTTGCCCACGTCCTGCAGCTGGGTTTCGCAACGAGATTGCACATAAACCCCTTTTTTGCACAACCATCTACACAAATCCTAAACCGTCACAAGCTCCAAAAGCAGTGTCTCCTTTGGGCTGCACCAGCCGAAGCAGCATTTTTCCGGGGTCCTGCAGGAACACAGTGGAGCTTAAGGAGTTTAGGGATTAGGGGAGCTTAGGGCTTAGGGACTTTAGGGTTGAGGGAGTCTCGACTCGCATCACTCGCTTAAGGAAGGCATGATTCACGTCTCGCCCGTCAGCCCCCCCCCCGGTCCAACTGGTTCTCATCGTAATTGCCGTAGTAGGAATCACCTGAAACTGCCATGCCACAACTCAGTGCCCGCACTCAGTGCCCACAAAGTAGTAGTTGTATAAACATGGCATGGCAATCGTATCCGTGTGTAGTGCTGCTTTCGAGTTTTGCGCCCAGTGCAGCTGGAGAGCCACCCCACCATCCGCCTTGCCCACGTCCTGCAGCTGGGTTTCGCAACGAGATTGCACATAAACCCCTTTTTTGCACAACCATCTACACAAATCCTAAACCGTCACAAGCTCCAAAAGCAGTGTCTCCTTTGGGCTGCACCAGGCGAAGCAGCATTTTTCCGGGGTCCTGCAGGAACACAGTGGAGCTTAAGGAGTTTAGGGATTAGGGGAGCTTAGGGCTTAGGGACTTTAGGGTTGAGGGAGTCTCGACTCGCATCACTCGCTTAAGGAAGGCATGATTCACGTCTCGCCCGTCAGCCCCCCCCCCCGGTCCAACTGGTTCTCATCGTAATTGCCGTAGTAGGAATCACCTGAAACTGCCATGCCACAACTCAGTGCCCGCACTCAGTGCCCACAAAGTAGTAGTTGTATAAACATGGCATGGCAATCCTATCCGTGTGTAGTGCTGCTTTGGAGTTTTGCGCCCAGTGCAGCTGGAGAGCCACCCCACCATCCGCCTTGCCCACGTCCTGCAGCTGGGTTTCGCAACGAGATTGCACATAAACCCCTTTTTTGCACAACCATCTACACAAATCCTAAACCGTCACAAGCTCCAAAAGCAGTGTCTCCTTTGGGCTGCACCAGGCGAAGCAGCATTTTTCCGGGGTCCTGCAGGAACACAGTGGAGCTTAAGGAGTTTAGGGATTAGGGGAGCTTAGGGCTTAGGGACTTTAGGGTTGAGGGAGTCTCGACTCGCATCACTCGCTTAAGGAAGGCATGATTCACGTCTCGCCCGTCAGCCCCCCCCCCCGGTCCAACTGGTTCTCATCGTAATTGCCGTAGTAGGAATCACCTGAAACTGCCATGCCACAACTCAGTGCCCGCACTCAGTGCCCACAAAGTAGTAGTTGTATAAACATGGCATGGCAATCCTATCCGTGTGTAGTGCTGCTTTGGAGTTTTGCGCCCAGTGCAGCTGGAGAGCCACCCCACCATCCGCCTTGCCCACGTCCTGCAGCTGGGTTTCGCAACGAGATTGCACATAAACCCCTTTTTTGCACAACCATCTACACAAATCCTAAACCGTCACAAGCTCCAAAAGCAGTGTCTCCTTTGGGCTGCACCAGGCGAAGCAGCATTTTTCCGGGGTCCTGCAGGAACACAGTGGAGCTTAAGGAGTTTAGGGATTAGGGGAGCTTAGGGCTTAGGGACTTTAGGGTTGAGGGAGTCTCGACTCGCATCACTCGCTTAAGGAAGGCATGATTCACGTCTCGCCCGTCAGCCGCCACCCTCCGCCCAACCCCACCAAACCACAGCCGGATTTGCAGCAGGTTGGTAAGTCCCGGGCAGGAGAGGATCTGTGAGGTTTACGACGGGGGTCTGTAGGTCAAAGGACTGCTGCGAGGTTTAGCTGTGTTGCTTCTGCAGCTGTGATAGTGCCAGCTGTCTACATCAGGGAGTCGCTGTGCGCTGACGGTGTTGGGCATTGGGCGCTTAACAGTTTGGGTTCACCCATAGATGCATACATACATGTGTGTATACATATATATATATATATATGAGAGAGATTACATAAGTATATGTACATACATACAGACTCCGCCTTGCCCGAAAGCTGAGGCACCTCAAACAGGGTTGTGCACCACGCAACTGCGGTAGGCGTCCCTTTCTCGAGCTCCAGGGATCGTACTGTGGTGTTCCCCATCAAACCATCACTGGTATCAGCTATCCATACCGTTTTTCGGACTCGCTGTGCAATTCGGCCAATTTTGCCTGAACTCAAAGCGCTACAGCCAAAGCCCCAGACCTGCAGCGCAGGAAACAGGCGTACGGTGGTTCTACAGTCTACAGTCTTCCCGGTCATCCTGAAACCTAGTCGAGCTTCGTATGCTAAAACCATGAGCAGCAGATACTGACTGACATGGATGGCAAACAATGAAACACTCCACGGCCTCGTCCGCCTCGTCGCTGTAATTCGAGCCCACCTCCATCCCACCGAAGCGTGATTTCGCGCACTGTGGTAGAGAGCTACGCGAACAGGACTTGCCCATTTGGGAGGGCAGGCTTGGAAAGCTGAGTTGCAGTAGCGACTGGAGCAAAGAAACATTGATGCTCTGAGAATCTAGTAGACAAGCAAGGCTGATGATGGGGATGGAGATGGCAAGAGACACTACGCTGACGAGGCTGATGACAGACGCTGGACGGGAATTTATGACGATAATACAAGTATGCATGACTCACTGGTTTTTCTACATGTTGCTGGTTCCATTCGCATCAGTGCTGGAACCAGATAAGATGACAGCGTTTTCCAATGTTGACAGTAATGCTGATCGAGATAGCCAACAGACACTCAGGCCTGGGTCTAGCATTCAAAAGTCCATGTCCTATGAAGCTAGCAGTTCTTGAGTTTATAAATGTTGCCTGACGGCGTTATGGCTATTGCTACCGTTGATCAGCTTTCGGGATCTGGAGCTTAGGGCGGACACTCTGTCCGTCTTGATCTTGCAAGCATTCTGCTCACTAACTACCCTGGCTGTGGTAGGATGCCGTATTCGCACAGAGCTCAGTCTGCAGTAGCAGGCAACATCGTCGTAGTGGTCGCGGGAGCGGAAGTGCTAGCAGCACCAGGGGGCGGTAGTTGTGGGTAGCATGCCTACTGCGAGCACGACTTGAACTAAAAGTTTGCCGCACATCTTGGCACAGATAGGAACACTCTCGGCCTTCGAAATTCCTCGAGCATCTCCTCAAAGTTGAAAGTGCGCCAAAAGCTTTCTTTTCTGGCAAAGCTTCGCAGACCCTGCACCATACTCTAACGCTCTGTAAGATCCGTGGCAAGTATCTCTGTAGAAGTCGGGGACGAACAAAGCATATCGGTCCGGAATCCGAAATAGAGCCCAAAAGCCCCAAACCCTGAACCTCGAATACAATCTGAAAGCCCGGACCCTAGACCGCCTCAACCCTGCCGGAAATGCCAAGAAGAGACCCGGGGCGGCGCACATGCAGATTGCATTTCAGGAGGCGCCGGTGGATCTCCTGTCAATACTAACACTGACACTAGTATGAACACTAATATAAATACTAGTATGACTCCAGTACAAGTACTGCCAGTACTACCAACTTGCGAGATCCTATTGCTTTCAGCGTATTTGCCGGTATATAGTAGGGTTCTGGACTGGTAAATCTAAAAAATGATGGGATACGCCTCAAGAAGGTGCCTCAGCCCTTGGGTTTCGGGTTTAGGGGTTTAGGGCTAGGATCCTTCAGGGAGATCTAGGGTCTACAGACTCTAGGGTTCAGGGTCCTGGGGGATCTTCGAGGGCTTACTTTGGCATACAGGTTTCCGTGCTTAGGATCCTTTACCTGCAACACTACAACAAGGACTGCCCCACCTCCCACCAAGTGACGCAAAATGAAATGACCAAGAGCTAGACATAACATTAACACTACTTTTAATACTGATGACATTCGTCTTGCTTCTAATCCAAGTGTTTTCCTGTTTGAGGCTATGGCCACAATTCCTGTCGCCGCAACAACACTACGAATAAGACGACGACCATCACCACTACTACGATGACAGTCACAGCGATACCAATAGTAGTTATGACGCAAATGATTCGCACACATACCATTGCTAAACCAGTTAACTCTAATACTAAAACTTTGTCCGGTACTAATGCTCATGCTAGCACTGAAACCAAGAAGAACAGCAGCAATGACAATAAATGTTATGAAGTTTCGGGTTATAGCAGTAAGAACCGCAATGAAAAAGCATAATGTCTATATTAAAAGGAACGAATAACAACAAAACACACAACTAGCTTAAAAGCAAAGCAAAAACACTACATGGTGACAACGAACCCAGAACATGTAAACAATACGACATAGTAACCCTCGACAACAAGCACCACCATCGTCGTCATCATCATACTGGCCATAAACGACAAAATTAGACTGACCCCAACAAATCCATGCATACTGATGGTTGAACAAGAACAACTTAATGAAAGCAATACATGTATTGGTTGCGTGACCAGCATATTAACCCGCCTATAACAGGCACCTCAAGTACTCGTATGTATGGGAAAAATGCTACGGAAGAATGAAGATTAGTTCGGATAGTTAGACCAACAGACAAGCGATACGTGTGTGTATATATATATATATATACTGAATGTCTATGTAGAGTTACATATATAGATATGTGCTTCGTTTTATAGAGAAGAAGTTATGCATATGTATATATACGTATGTGTAAATATATAATCATATACATACATACATATATATATATATATATTCACATATATATATATATATATATATATATATATATGCTTATATGTATGTATATATAATATCGTCATCGTTCTTTCATGCTACCATCTGTGGCCTGCCATTGGGTTTTCCCAGCTGGGTTGATCAACTCGGAGGCCACCTCGGTCGGAAGAGCGAAGAAGGGCCCAAGAGGACTTCGAGGTCCCTCTGTACATGTTTGGGGTCTGTAGGAAGGGTTTGGGAGCTGTAGCCACAGCCCTTCATCTAATTCATACGAAGCCCCAGACGGTCCCTGTATATCCGGCTATCACAGAAACGAATATCAAATGGTTGCCACAATGCAGCAAAAATCCACGCGTCGCGGCACAATCCTGAAGTCCTGTTCCCCGAGATTGCAACATTAGCACCTCAAGTTATTGCGCTGCAAAGGCCGAACTCCAAAACTCCTTGAAGCCCCACATCGGCATAGCTCGAGACCCTGTGCAATCCGAGGCCTGGAGGACCAAGGACACCTTCTTGTACACTTCACCTTGCGACAGCCGGGTGCTGACGCTCAGCAGGGCTTTGCGTGAAGATGCAGAACGCTGGCTTTAATTGGATCCTTCTTTCGAAGTCTCTGGGTATGTATATGCATATGTATATGTATATGTATATGTATATGTATATGTATATGTGTATATGTATATGTATAGGTATATGTATATGTATATGTATATGCATAGGTATATGTAAATATGTGTATATGTATATATGTGTATATGTATATGTATATGCAAATATATACGTATATTTGTATATATGTGTGTATATGTATATATATATATATATATATATATATGTATATATGCATATATGTATATATGCATATATGTATATATGTATATATGTTTATAAATATATATGTATATATGTATATATGTATATATGTATGTATGTATATATGTATATATGTATATATGTATATATGCATATATGTATATATGTATATATGTATGCACCGACACGAAATGTATGTGTGTGTGTGTGTTTGAGTTTGTTTCTATATACATATATATATACATGCTAATCCCATCCCCGAAGCACTACCGCGGAGGTGCTGCGATGCCACCAATCCTCCTAGGTTTAGGCTTCTAGGGTATGACCTAGGCTTAGTGTTAGATTTTGAAGTTCGGGGGACAGCATATGTATATCGACAGCGGCCTTCATTCTCAATTGTTGTGACGTTTCACACAGACACTCAGACATACGCTGTCCCAACGATGAAAGTCATGTCTGTCGGAATAACCGAAGCTCAATATGGGCACGAGCATTAACTCCTAACGCAGCCTTCACTACAGTCTCAGACCCAAGCCCCAGCAATACGTACGAATGACCGTGAGCATCGCCTGACTCCTCTTCCTAAACAACAATATCCCAACACTGCCCCTGCCATTAGACCTTACATTGGCGCCAATGGTGACAGTAGTCTTCCACTTCATGTTCACCCACAAATGGTGCCTTATAGATTCACGTCTTAGTTCGTATGGATTAACATGTTATGTCGACTTGTAACTCCATTATGTATACATCCCCATATCAACCCTCATGCCGAGGTGAAGCTTGATACAAGGTGATTACAATCACATACATCAGCTTGACTGGCCCTCTGATAGTAAGCAAACTTAATGTTACCCATAAGCCGTTCCTTGTGCCGGAAACTTCCTTCAACTGCAACACACATAGTGGCAATTGGCCTCATCAAAAGGTTAGTGCATCCAGATGTAGCCGTGGGTTCCCATTCAAATCTCCTAAAAGCCACGGCATCCCCATTTCTAGTTACTGTTAATATTAATACACGTCAGCCAAATACTGCCCAAACATTTGATTCAACGGTTGCCGTCATGTTCATGCTAATATTAATCTATACGAAACGGATTCCATTAACAACCGCGATCCTTGCTGTCTTCGCTCTGGTGTTCCCCAAAGGATGGCCCTTCGATTTTTATGGACTATACCAGCACTTGTTTGTTTACCTCAACATATAGTACATGTCGCTCCCTTTCTCACTGTCAGACTTGCTGTCGGACTTGCCCGTATGCGGTGTGTACGTTTTATGTGTCTATATACAGATAAATGTAAAGAATCAGGTTAAACCTGTACTAGGTACCAACATAGTGACGAAGATCATTAGCTGACTCCTGTTTCCAAACAACATCAACCCTAACCATATCCTTGTCATTCGCCGTTATGTCAATGGTGACCGAAATATTGGCCCTGACAGCAGCCCTAAGGCCACCCATAGTAGGCTTAGTACCACCCAGAATCTGACCCCGATGATTCTTATCTAAACTACAACTTCAGTCAGCTAGAAGACATCAAGCGGTAGCTGTGATAAACAGCTCCCTATCCACCCCGAAGTTGACCCGAATATTGTCTTGGATGCTGCCTAATATATTGTAGTGAGCATTAATGTTGGCGGAATCGCAGCCCAGTAATCAAAATGCTCTAACCTTAGAGCCAACACTTGTTGGTACCGCACACAAGCAAATTAAATGCGCACTCCTCGCTAGAAAAACCTGGTTTTGGAAGTCAAAACCAATTTTTTCCTAGGACAAGGATAGTTTTGGCATGAAAACCAACTATTTCCTGGGAAAAAAATGTTTTTGCAGGGGTAACGAAGTTTTTCCTAGGAAAAACACAAAAACAAAAAAAATGTTTGTAAACTATGTGGCCAGACTTCAAAAAAATGTGTTTTTGCTTTTCCCTAGGGAAAAGATTGTTTTTGATGGAAAGACCAACACTTTTTCCTGGGAAAAATGGTTTTCGAGTGAAAACCAATTTTTTCCTAGGAAAAAAAGAAAACCCACCAAAAAAAGTTGAAGTCCGGCCACATAGTTTACCCAAAAATGTCTTTTTGGTTTTCCTAGGAAAAAAATGGTTTCCCCTCCAAAACCATTTTTTCCCAAGAAATATTTGGTTTTTCATGCCAAGACCATTTCTTTCCGATGAAACAGTTGGTTTATCACTCCAAAACCATCTGTTTCCTAGGGAAAACCAAAAAGCAATCTTTTGGAGCCCGGCCGTATAGTTACACAAAAAAAAAATGTGTGTTTTTGTTTTTCCTAGGAAAAAGTTGGTTTTGGTGAGGAAGAATACAATGTTGCCGTGACGTGTGTGCTTACGTCGATCCTGAACCAGTTGCTTAGCGGCTGGTTTGTGCTGGGAAGTGTACAGTGTTACCGTTGAGTGCTTGCTCATGTCGAACCTGAAAGAGCACTCTAGCACGTTCGGTTGAAATGTGAGCATCGTTGAGGTTGTCTTTGCGAAATACGGAATCTGGATCTGCCGGAAAAGCTGTTTCAACACGGTATTTACAATACAAAACGAGGGTCGGTAGTTCTTGGGGGGGTTACCATATACATATGTATATATATATATATATATATATATACGTAGGCATATTGGCTGCCCGAAAACTGTCGTCGAGCGGCCTTCGGGGACTTCTGCACAAGGTGCCGCAATCTTCTTCACGGTCCTTGGTCACCATATGCGATGCGACAGGATTTGCAGTATAGGTCAAATTGAAGGACTGAAGGCAATTAATCGGGTCGAGCCCGAGTACAGCAAAACGCAAGGCTGCCGCTACTGACACTTCGGCTTTCTACTTTGTTTCGTGAGGTAAATGCACACGGGTCTGTAATTTGCTCTGACACGTGGGAGCTGCTCCTGCTGTTGCTGGACAATCTCCAATACAAAACTCATTCGGCCAAGAGACGCCCGCAAAAGCTCGCAGTGGTCCTCGATCACCAACTGCTTCGTATTCCGGCACTTTTCCTGGGCCACGTTCAGGCAAGGGCTCGTGAATCCACAGGCACGGCCGTAACAACAGTAGTACAACAGTGAGAACAGCCTAGTATGTCCTCCAAGTGCTGAAACTTACAGTATAATACAGAAGCCTGAACAATCAGCAATAAGCTTCCTCAGGGCTCCTTATTCTAACCATACCATAACGTGTATGCCACAGCATAAACCACTATACGAGCTCCTGAGGACTAAGGCCCCTAGTTGGTGCAGCAAGCCCGGGGCACTGGCCCGAAGTTCAGCAGCCAGTTTATGTGCTCCTGCAGCGCCGAAGATGAAACGAGATTCGACACACGGCAGTTTCTCCAGCTAGGGTCGGCAAACAACTCAACTCCTGGGACCAAGCACATTCCAAAGGATGTCGCCTCCACAAAAGAGATAGTATGCACATATGTGGGTACTATGAATACTTATTCCGACTCTTTGAACTAATTTTTGCTGCGAACAGGGATGACAGGGATCGGGAGCGATGGGATCCACTGCTTTTGCCCCGGGTCTCCTTCGTTGTGGACGGATTGGAAAAGGTGCACACACTTCTTCCACCAGGCTTTCCAAGCCTTTGCAGGCGCAAGCTGCAAACTTGGTTCCTTTCAATAACCTGTATAGTAAACCTTGGAGCCACCTACAGTAATTCTTGTAGTAAACCTTGTCGCAACCCCTCTAGTAAACCAGAGTTGTAGTAAACCTTACAGTAAACCTTACAGCAATTCTGCAGCAACGCATGGAAAACCTAATTCTGGGTTTCAGTGCTTCCGGGGACCCGGGCCGAGCGTGTTGTCAGAAAGGAGGACCTGTCAAAGCTTGAGAGGAGGTCGGCCACCCAAACCCTCAGCACTATGTATGGGAGTGTTGGAACCCCCATTAGTAGGATCCCTTTTCCAATCCAGCAGGAGGGGAGAACCTAGCCCCGTCGATTTCACACCTTATGCATACCCTCTGGCATTTACATGTATGAATATGTATATGCACACACATACACACACATACATGTGCCCTTACACATATACATGTCACCGTATACATGTATGTGTATGTGTGCATGTATGTGTGTATATATATATATATGTATATGTATATATATATATATATATATATATATATATACGTACAATCAGAAACATGTATGCATGTACTGATCTATCCATACATATATACTACCAGAGGTGTTGCACAAAAAAACACAGTACGTCTCCACATATACACATATAAGTAAAGAATGGATCTTGGTAAACAACTGTAGAAACTCATAGCCTGGTGTGCATAAAGCATCGAAACGCAGGTGCGAGGTTCACCCCTGGAACCGATCCCTCTTATAGGGTCTCCAAAGATGCCATCACTGATCCCTGCAAGGCCTCCAGGATTTTGCCTGCTCCGGAAGTTCGCCACTTTCGGCCCAGTCGTCTTCATCAGCCTGCCCGGGGAGAAGAGGCGAAGACAAAGCAAGATGAGGGTGCGCAGCCAGGGTAATCTCTGCTCGCACTCAGAAGGACCCAAACTGAGGGCCCGGATTTAGGGTTTCGGCCCTCCAACCCGAAACCCGAAACCCTAAAACAGGCTAAGGGATCCGTTTAGGGCCCTCGGAGCCACGGAACGGCCGGCCTTCGGGCCCTTCCAGAGCGCGAAGAGCATCTGAGCAGGAGAGCGGAGCAGAAGCAGAGTCGGTGGAGGTGAAGATAGGAGCATTGATAAATATAAGAGCGGCATTCCGATAAGAGGCTCCTTTAAAGGGATCTAGAGCGTTCTGGTTCTGTAACGGAGTAAGTGTTTAGGAGTATAGCATAAACGCAGCAGGTAAGCTTGCGGAACGATGTTTGTAATTATTTAAGCTTCTACCTTAAGGGCGCTCGAAATGCCGGCCTGACTCAGCCTATCTTAGCAGGTTGGTCGGCGCTTGAAACAGAACCCAAACCGTTTTACCATGTTAAGGGCACACATGCGCCATAAATTTAACAGCTGAGGGCAAGAAAAAGAGAAGCCTCAATGGTCTAGAACTTTGGCTCAGCTCGGGTACGCTTCAACCAGCTTTGAAAAAATTAACTCCGACACTCCAGGCCGCAGACCGCACATCATCTGCGATATCTGACAGCCCAGCATCTGAGGGAAGTCATGCCGGGTACTTCACCGCAGTATAAAAAAGATCCCCCCTGAAAAGAATGGAAACCAAAATGCCCCAAATGCCTCAAGAGCGGAGCATGACATCTGGACTGGGGTTTTGGGACTTGGTGCCATAAGCAGACAAACGAAATCTTGATGTTACAGGCCATCAATGAAAAGCATACGTCTTCTTCGGAGCCCTGCCACCGTATCCTGCCTCCAGCATCAGCATGCCGAAGGAGTAGTGGTCGAGACGATGCGCATATTGATCTGGGGCATCACTTGTGGATGGGATGGAAATCGGAAACCAAAGTGGTGAAATAACAAAGGTCAACAGCTCAAGCAGACATGTGTGAAGGTTGTTGCGATGTGGAAGATGTCTCGCACACCCTCCCATGTTGTTGACCGGGACGGCGATCCGGATCTGAAACTAGACCAAGGGCACACCTGCACACCTTCAGCAAAGACATGCCGTCATAGAACCACGACAGACAGTTTGCGCAATCGCACAGTGAAAAGGCCCAAGCCGTTGAATTGAGTTGTACGCCACAGTTGCAAGACCCTTCAACAACACCGCTGTGCAGAACTGT